ATTTGCTCTTGGTCCAGCAGTACTTAAAGAAAGCCACTTCACTGCAACCAGCAGCCAGGAAACCCAGGCTCGTACTGGCCCTTCCCTTGTGTTGGCCTGCATTGCCTTCTTCCCTGGTAAACAAGGAATCTCCTGTCTGACACCATCAACTCTTGTCCTTGCAAAAAGGCTGGCAATGTTCCTCACCCTAGCAGATGATATGCTGTGCAGCTTGTTTTAGCAAGGGGCTTGAGGCGCTTGGCCAGAAGTTTGCTGAGGGGTTGCTAATTCTTGGAGCTATGGAAAAGCTGTTGTGAGCATTGGGTTTATTTCCCTGGAGTCACTTCAGATGTTTCTGTCCCTGTTGCAGAAGAAATGGGTCATATCAGACAAAGAAGTCACTCTGTTTCCGAGCCATTTTGGCCGTGTCCACCAGTTTCCACAGTGAGTATATTTGTTTCTGCAGCCGTTGTCTGACCAAGTGCAGACATGCTCTGCTCATGTTTAGCAGGGGTCTGCCAAATTACTGGTTTGCAGTTAATTTCGTCCTTGCTTTTTCTTAGTCTGGAGTTATGCATCCTCCATTACTGATTGTGGTTTGCATTTTACCATTACTGCCATCAGAGGGAACTGGTTTGCTAGACAGAGGAATTTAGGCAACCCTCCTAATGTTTCATCTGCTCATTCTCTTTCCATTGGTAGAGACTGCCCAGCCATTTAACAGAAATAAGATCCTAATATTGCATTGTTTTGAATATAACATGGAAAGCTTCTCTTAAGTGGGTGGATCAAAGAACAGATGCATGCAAGTCTGTGACATTTCCGTGCTTTCTGTGAAACTCATATGAATCAAAGTAACTCCAAAATGCCTTCTTGGGTCAAGATGGCACAAGACGACGGAGGCAAAAAATAAAACCTCTGCCTAGCAAGGGGCTCCTGAGCTGTTCTTGAGGCCAGCACTGCTCAGTGGTTCCCTTAATGGCCTAGGATGTGAGGTTGACTCTATAGAGATACCTTGACATTCACCTGGCAAAGAAGTCCTTTTCTCAGAATGGTGCCTTCTTCCTATTTCCAGGTTTGAGATTCGGGTAGTGCCTCGAAAAATTTCTCTTAGAGACATGGAGGCATTTACAGACGTTGAGAGTGGTACGAGCAGCACAGGAATAAAAGGTAATGTTATCCACTGATTCCTGGCAGAGGTTTGTGCATTTGCCTGTCTTCACTACTGGTGAGTGTTTAGGGCCCAGGCTACAATAGATGCCTGGGATAGTAGAGGCACCCTGTGTACCTCTATTTACCTCTCCTGGTAAATCTCAAGGGACTTGTTTTGGAGCAAGATCCCAGAAGGGCTCAGCACCACCAACTGCAGTTGATGGTGCTGACGTGTGTTTTGCCCCTGCACTCCATGACCTGGAGTACAGCTCTTCCATTTTAAGGTTTTGTGCAGGTGAGAGTAAATGTTTGGGGAAGTCCATCAGCACTGTGAGTCACAAACTCTGCCTTGAGTTTTAGGAGACTGGGGGGGGGGTGTATCTCTTGGAATCACTGTGGCATGATTCAATGAGAAAAATCACATAGAGAACAACTGTGTAAAGGTTGCTAAGCTGTGCCTAGACCTCACTTCTCTTTTAAAGCTGGGAAGTCTAGCTCCTCAACCTAAATTCCTCAGAAACATCAGAGTTAATAGCATGTTTGAGTTGAATGCACCATGATAGCAAAATTTTGTATACCAAACACATATGCAACACCAAGAAATTGTTCCCGCAAAAGAGATTGTTAAGTGCCAAGATCTGTCTCCCCCTGAAAGCTGCTGTGCAGAGGAAGGAATAGCTGCAGCAGGAGAAAACTCACACCAAAGAGAATAATGTGTCTATTGAGGGCTGAACAGGATCATGGACTGGTGTCAGGAAGGGCTTAAGATCTCCCTCTGAGAAAACAGGTGTCAGAAGAAATCCCAGGGAGGCCTCAAACAGCTTCTAACATTGCGGAGCAGATCTGTCCCTCCTCCTGCCTGTTCTAAGACGTTTTCTCCATTCACGCTTGCAGCACCTGCTCATCGCACATTACTCCTTCTGCGAAGGAGCGTTTCTCCAGACCGCTTGGCCAGAGCTGAGATGAAGGAAGAAGCACAGGAGAATATGGGGAGAAAATGGCCTCCTGGCAGGTGAGACTCTGAAAGGACTCGATTAGAGTGGCCTTGTGCTTTAGTGCTGGTGCAGGATGTTTTACAAGCTCATACAATAATGGCGGTTGGAAGGGCTCTCGGGAGGTCCTAGTACAACCAGCTGCTCCAAGCAGAGTCAGCTATGAGCTGAGGTCAGACAAGGTTGCTCAGGACTGTATGCAGTCTTGTCTTCAAAGCCTTCAGGGATGGAGACTGCCCAAGCTCTCTGAGAAACCTTGTCTCCTCTTTCTTTTGGACCTAGTGTTTGTGTTAACTCAGATGGGTTGTTAACACACATCACCACACAGTGCATTTCCTTGCTGATGGGAAGTCCCACAGTATTTGGGACTGCTTTGCAGTGGTCAGTGTAATGGCCAGGAGGGTGATACCAGTACCTCCAGGTACCTGTCATCGCACAGGATATAAGTCCTCTCAACGTTCCATCAAGAGGGCCGCATCAGGCTGCGTGTCCCGGAGCCTTCTTTATGGAAAAAGCTCATCTCCTTGATTTCCTTAGTGGTACATCTGAGTGTTATAGCTCAGAGTTATCCCTGTCTCTGTGGAGGGGAAGACAATTGGGTGAAGAGAACTCAGTGTGCTGCCAAAGCAGGTGAGCAGTGTGAGCACAGGATGGAGAAGAAACTCTTCCTGCACTCATACTGACTCACCCTGGTGTGTATTTTCAGACTGTTGCCACAACGTGCAGGCACAGAAGGAAGGCAGCACAAGGAAACTCCTTTTGAGAGCCCTAAATTGCCATTGCCTACTTCTGAAGAACAGAGGCAGACAGGACAGGTATGTAATATCGATTGAGGCAACTGTTGTGTCACTTGACTGTAGAAAATCAAGTGGGGATATTTTAGGAGAAATAGGTACATAAAAAAATACGCAGGTCCTGATTCTGAGTAGATATCTTTCCGTGACTCATTTTCTCATTCAGTTACCTGTTTTGGGTATTGTTCATCTCAGAGAAGGAACTGTAGCCCTTTTTAAAAAGTAGCCCTTTGATGACTTAGTTCATTGGTTCTAACAGAAGGGATTTCTGGTTCCGTCTGTAAGAACTGTCTGCCGACAGAAACTGGAAAAAAAGGGAAGATGACAGAGAGAAGAGGACTATTTAAAGAAAAAGACAGATGAGACTAACCGCTGCTATTGCATTTCTGGGTCCTTGTAGAAAAGACAGTCTGTATTTGGGATGAATAGTAGAAAGAAACTGGAGGCATCCATGGCCAAAAGGAAGGAAAAAAAAAAGAACAGAGAAGCAGAATTGCCTCAACAGCAAGCTGGAAGAGGAAGCGACAAGATGCAGAAGGCCCAGGTACGGGAGTATCAACAGAGCAGCCTTTTTCTGGTTGGGGTGGCACTGAGCTGGGGAGGTCTCCAAGTCCCAGCAGCGTTGCTCCCTCCAAAGAGCAGGGCAGGCGGCTGTGGTTTTCATTCTCGCCTGCTCACTGCTGCGAGGGAGAAATTGCCAGTAGAAGCCAAGGGGCAAAACAAATAGCTGGCCAGGGTGAGGGCATCAGTGGGTCGGCTCCATCCCTGTAAAGGAGGCCACATCTGCGCCGGTCCTGGAGCTCAAGCAGGATCTGTCCCGGTCACATGGCTTAAGCCAGCTCCAGCCAGCAGCATGGAGGGGGAGAGCTGTCTCTCCCAGTAGCACTCCAGCCATTCTTCATAAGCAAAATGGCCGACGTTATTTCAGCTGCTCCTTGGTGGCAGGGAGCCAGCATTTTGTGAAATGGCAGGACCCACCTGGTTTTGTGCTGCTCTATGGTTTGCTGATGGCCCTGTCTCCACCCCACCCCACCCCATGCCTTCCCTCCCGGTTCAGCCATAAGCACATCAGAACCAGAGGCCCCTGCCCACTACACACACGGAGGCTGCCACTTTTAACCGCATCCTACCATGCATGTTTCCATACTGTTCTGTGATGGGCTTCCTGCCATTTTTGAAAACCACCATACCCACCTGACTCCAACTCAATTCTGCAAGAAGTGCATCTCTTGTCACGTAAAGTACCAGCATGAGCAGCAAGGATATGATTGAGGATTTGACTAATGTCAAGCCAGAAATAGTTTGGAGCATAGTTTCCAATTACACCGTTGGAGAAATATGCGTCCAACCTTTGCCTTCAAAGGGAAAGCAAGTAGGTGTGGGCCATCCAAATCCAGACGTCACATGATTTTTGCTCCACCTGTGGCAAGACCAGCTCCTCCCTTTTAGAAACCAACTCGGGCTACAGATTTCTGTCATTTGTCTGTCTTGCAGCTGCCTCAGGAGGCAGAAGATAGCTTCAGATCCCCAGAGACCACCTCCAATACAGAAAAGGGTCTACAAACAGTGGAGGCTTGGATTCAGCCGAGGAGGAATTTTCGAACTGATCTGGAAAGCTTAGGGGACATTGAAAGATGGCTGACTCAAAAACCTTTCCGCAGCCAACAAGAAGAAAGACACTTGGAAAAAATAAAGGCACACAGAGCAGACAGGAGGGCTGCTGCCAAATCACATGTGACCGACAGCCTGGACGTAAGTACAGAAGGGCATGGGAAATAGCATCTGCCATCAAATCAGTAGAGACACGCTGCTTTACCCCAGCTGATGCCACATTGATGGGCATGGTGATCCTGGATAACGGTGGTCTCAGGGTATTTTCTAATCCTTTTCAGCTCTTACCACCAAAGAGCAGCCAGCCCCATAAGAAGAGCATTGTTCCCATCATTTGTGCACCATATCCCCAGGCCCTTGTCACGCTGCATAACCTCCTGCATGAAAAGAGGCTAAAGATGGTGGCTCTGTTCAAGGCAGCTCGTATGGGCGGGAGGAAGATCAGGAGAGAAGAGTTCATTAAAGTCATCAAGGAGGTATGTAGGGAACAGAAAAGTAATGAACTGCTGCAACTCTGCCCTATTCTCCTGCATGTCAACCCAGAGCAAATGGAAGAGCTTCAGCAAGGGGCATTTTAGCTTGCCTTACTGTCAAAGAATGGCTCCCAGAGCCCGTGAAAAGCTGAAGGGCAAAGGGAAGGGAAAGCTGCAGAGATGCACCTAGAGCGAGTCCCAGGAGGGAGTGAAGAAACCCACTGCCTCACATATTTGGAAGACAGTCACTGCTCAGTAATGTGGCTGTTGGAATCCTGCTGTAGACCCTGAACTGGCATTGAGTCTCCCCATGTTGATACTTGGTCTTTCCCCCATCGGGCTCCTACATCTCCCCACTGCACTGCCTTTCAGTACATGTTTGCATAGCCCGGCTCACACTGGGCCTCACTTTCCACAAGCCACAGCGTTACAGAGCTGTGAACAGCATGTTCAGGTTTATTAGGGTTTAGCAGTTCAGATGTTAACTGATACTCCAAGCCAAAATACCTTCCTGAAACCCAGAGGACAGTAACAGCCAAGTGCTCTGCAGGGGGCAGCAGGAGACAGGTCGAGTTGTGAATGCTTGATAAACCCAAGGAAACTTCAGGAGGTTGCCATTGTGCCATGCTTCCCTGCAAAAGCATCTGGAACAACAGCAAAGCTCACCCCTCCCACTCTGGGGCAAGCCTTGATCTTTTGGTGATCCCGCTGTCATTTTCTGGTTGCCAGACCAAGGTTCCCATCAGCGACAAGGACCTGGAGGATGTGGTCATCTTCTTGACTTCCTCAAAACCAGGGAATTTTATAAGTGCGGAAGATCTGATTAACTGTCAAAAGCAGTGGATGGAAATGAAGAAAAGAGAATCCCAAGAGATCAAAAGAGGTGAGTGGAGAGCACTAGTTTCAGAAAGCATCTCTGTACAGACAGGAAATCCCAGAGCGGCTCCAGAATATGACTTCTTGGAGACCATTGTCCTAGAGCAGAGTGGCCAGAGGAGACTTTTAGGGAAAAACTGAAGGATCCTGGGGATGTGCAATACTGTAGTCAGTCCAGTTGCAGGAGACAAGTTATCCAGTCTTTCAGCTTGGGATAAAACTCTAAATCCTGTGGTTTAACAGCCTGTACTGGACTTTTTTTGTTAGCATTCATCATACGGCTCATCCAAAGCAGACCCTTTCTCCAGCTGTTGGTGGCAGCTGGAAAACACCAGATTGAGAAGAGCTTATTCTTTAGTAAGCTCTGTTGGGAGTTCCAATCAGCACAACATGCCAAACCCCTTTGTCTTAAATGTGACTTCTCTGGGCTTTTTGTTTGTTTTTTTAATCTATCCTAGGTGTAGAAGCTCAGTTCCGGAAAGGCACCTGTCAAACTGCCGCTTTTCCACCTTCTGCTGGGGACGCAGCCAAAGTGATGAAGCCTCATGCTCCTACCAAGCCCAAAAGAAAAAAGTTAATACACTTGGAAGTTCCACCAGTCAACACTGAGCCGGAACAACGACGTCTGAGCTGTGAGGAAATGGAAGAGATTGGAAAACAATTAAAAGAGAGGAGACGGCACGAGAAGGTAAGGTACTGTGTATGTGACAGGAGAAGAAGCGCACCTGCGTGTCCTAGTGAATGTGGGTTGATTAGAGCACAGTGCAGCAGAGAAGGAAAGGACAAGGGGTTATTGTGAGTATTAGCTTCTCATTAGTCCTTCGACCACATGGTGCTTTGCAGCTGAGGTGCTACAAGCCATCTCAAACAATCTGTTTGGCTTCTGAACACTCTGGTGAGATAAACACTTTTTCTGGGTAACTGGCAAGAAGAAGAAGGAGGAGGAGAAGTTGAAGCAGTTTCTGTGTCTGGGGATGGGGTCAACTTCTGATCTTCTAGTCAACCTGTCCACCAGACTGTGATTTATCCTTTAAGGTGCTGATAAGCACTTTGTCCTGTTCCATGCAAGACGTTCCAACAGAAACAACTCATTCACTCACTCCCAAATGTTTTCTTTGGAGTATCTTGGGTTGGATGAACTCTGGCAGAATCCAGGGCTACGTCCTCTTGCCAAAGTGCTGCCCCAAAGTATGTGGAGAGCCTCTGGCTCCCTGACACAATCAGAAACGAGAAGGTGGCTGCAAGACTTTTTTCATCCAAGGCACCTGTGCCTGGAGTGCTGTCCCTGTGATCCCACTGCAGGGTGCCGACTCCTGTTTGCACACACTTTTGAGACGAATCCCTGCCTGTAGCTTCTCTGAAGGAAATACAGCAACTCGAGGCCCCCATTGAAGGCTAATTGGGACCTGCCCTTTACTCGCAGAACAAAGACAGCCCAATAGAATGGAAAGAAAAGTGTCGGATGGTGAGATCTGGGGATGGCCCCATTGATGACCACTGCCTGCCGTCAACTGTAGAGAGTGACTTTGGAGAACTGGTTGACCAATATCGCAGGAAGGCCATCGTGACCTATATGCAGAGCTCCGAGCTGTGCAAAGAGCGCAACATTGACATCACCAATCCAACGCTGCAGAAAGGTAAAGCAAAGACCAAGGGCCTGATGTGAATGCACTAAATCTGACAAGTTTGTGTCTCTTCCTAAGCCCAGAAGCATGACCAATGTCAGGGGGCACTGCTGATGGAGCATGTTTGCAGCCCTCGGAGGGCCACGGCAGATGCTGCCAGTTATGATCAGCAATATCATCAGCAGGGCCAGAGCAGGGGTGAGATATAAAAGGGTGCTGCTGATCAGCCAGGGCCTTCTCCTGTTGCCCCTGGGACAGTAGCCAAGTTCAACCAAGAATGCAGCTCATGAGGCAAGTTTGTGGTGATGGGGCAGGTCCAAGGTCAAGCCAGGACATCAGACCATGGGCAGGACCAGGTCCATAGCCAGGAACCAACAGCGCTGTGGATGAGCTGCAGACTGCTACACCCACAACGTCTGAGCTGAAACAGAGCTCCTGATCCCGGGGCAATGCATGACTGTTTTCTCTGTGCACTTTGCCAACAGGCCTGCTGCATCCAGGAGACAAGATCATCAGGGAGGGAGAAGACATAAGGAAGATCAGGCAGCCTGGAGGATACTACAGCACAGGACGTGATGGTCGATCATCTGGGAGCACCTCCAGATCTGGAAGGCAGGGCGAGGCAGATGATAGGTCTGTTCAAAGAAGGCTTAAGATCAGTGCCCTCCTGCTGCCCTGCTGTATATCACCCCTCTGTGCTCAGTCCCCATGGCAGAGGCAGTACCGAGGTACTGGAGTGAACCATGAGGATGCTGCAAGGGAGCAGCAAGCAACAGCGAAGAGGCAGATCCTCTTCTCAGCTACACAGCCACTCCTGTGGCTTAGCCAAGTCATTGGGTTGCAGTGGTGCTGGTGAACAGTTTATGGTGCCTGGCAGGAGCCTTGCAGGCTAGTTGGGACTAGCTCTGTGCTGTGAACTACAGAGGTGACAAAACTTCTCCTCAGACCAACCCAACGCTTGTCTGAAATCTCCTCAGAGAATGTTTATTCTTGTGGAAGAAAGACAGTCCTGAAGAGCCGAGCTTTGGGTGGCTGGAGAAGCTTTTGGAGAGACAAAAACATCACAAAGCAGAGCACAATCTTCTTTGTTTATCTGAAGTGTTCAGACACAGTGATGGGCAATGTACCAGCTCTTAAGATAGCTTCACAAGCTGGTATTTCCAGTGCCAGTCATGTCTAATAAGGACCGACACGGTCTGCACACAGATCTGGCAGAGCTTCCTGGGGCCTGGAAGCCCAGACAGATGGTTCTTGTCACGCTCACTTTTGCCCTTACTAAAAGAAGCAGTGAAACTGCCCAGAATTTTATTTTTGTAAAGCATGATATTCTCTCATATATTTTTTTCTTCCTTATCCCCCCCGGCTTTTTTTCACAGGGATCTTCAGAGGAGTAAGATGCAAATGACAAGTGACAATAAGTTCTGGCCAGGTCATCTCCTGGACAAGCTATACCTTTACTTTCCTGAAAAGCAGCATGACAGGGCACATGCCTTGTTCAGCTGTGTTCGTCCAACCAGGCCTGTCTACCATGTCATCTAAAGCCCTGACTGCAGCTACCTCCTCAGTGAGCCAGGACACTTGGACTCTGGAGACACTACCTTCAGGAAGACCAACTCCACCTGAAGCTCTTCTCCAAGCAGCAGGAGATGTGTGCACAGCTTTGTGATCCCTCAGTCAGCTCAGAGGGATCTGGGCCTCGCTTCTGGATAGAATAAATGGATTAATTAAAGACTGTATATATATTCAAGCTGGAGGTGTGGGAGCTGGACTGACCACAAATGACACTTCTCGGCTGGGAGCTTTTCTGCTCGCCTGGTAACAAAAGGCCGTGGTGTTTTGTGTCAGGTAACGAACACCATGTTTCCTGAGCCCAAGAGCTGTAGCTGAAGTGTGTGTGTGGGCAGTGGGTGGTGGAGGGACACCCTGCTCCACATCCAGCCACCAGGATCCGACCCTTCCCCAGGTGGCAGCTACCACTGCCAATTCCCAAGGTCCGACCCTGGCTGGTGACAGGGGCACACTGGGGGCTCTGTGGAGCAGCCATCTGCAAAACACATGTGGCTCAGATGGTCGCCAAGTCGCTGAGCCTCTAGTTCAGTCCCAGGAGAGAAATCAGGCTGGTGGATCCTGGAGAAGGATTGCAGGAACCCCAGTTACGAATGCAAAGAACAAAACAATTGTTAATTTAATGCAGCTTAAATGACCCCTGCGCAGGAGCCTGTCACAGCACTTGGTGCTGTAATGGTCCCCCTCCCTTGTGACACCTGAAGTCTCATTACTGGGCCAGCATTCATCAGTCTCATCATGGGGCAGGGCCAGCTCCTGCTGCCGTCCTTGGCATAGCAAGTCCCCAACTGACTTCTTCCCTGCTTTTTCCATCAGGAATAGGATAATAATTTGGAGGGAAAACAAATTTGTGAGAGTGAGACCTGGGCACTAGACCCAAGCTGCCCAACAGGGTTATTTCATACAAGGAACGGCATATTCAATAGAAATTAGGACGTTTGCTGAGGAGTTCTCTCTCTCCCTGGATGGCTGCCATCCTGAGAACTCCTTGCCCCGGTGCCGGAGCCCTGAACCCTTCCCTTCCTCCTGCAGTCATAGCGCTCGCAGTGTCCCACATTTGCTGTCCCCTGCTGGGAGTGCACAGCTTCTACTGATAGAATTTGCTAAGTATAATCTTTGCATATTCTGTATTGGTATTGGGATCGATATTGGTTCTTTCATGTTATTAATGTTAATTATCTAATCCTACTCTATTAAATCTGTTTATACTTCAGCTCCCAGGTTTCCTTGTTTTTCCTGATTCCCTTTCCCGGGTGGGAAGGGGTCATTGGGTGATAGAATGATTGTCAAAATGACAATAAATCGTTATGGGTTTCTCAAACCATAACAGCCAGCAACTGCAAAAGACCACATAAGACGTTGTCTTGTTTCACATTCTAATCGAGGTTAGGGACATTCCTTGATGCCTCAGCCATGTCCCAACCAAAACTCCTTCATAAACTTCATAAAGTTGGTTCTTTAGACATCAGTTGCAATACTCAGTAACAAACTGGAGGGAGGAAAATCAGATGTCCTTTACAAAAGGAAATCTGAATTTTACTCAGAAAGAAAGAGCCCAAAGACCCTCTGAGTACCCCCCAATACCCTCCTAAAGCCTCTCAGTACAGCCCAGCAAGTCCCAAATGGCTCTGCTCCTGGTGACCCTTTCTTTGGAAGTGAAGCTCTGGAGCCCTCGACATAAGGACACGGAGCTGTTGGAGCGGGGCCAGAGGAGGCCCCGGAGATGCTGGGAGGGCTGGAGCCCCTCTGCTGGGAGGACAGGCTGGGAGAGGTGGGGGGGTTCAGCCTGGAGAAGAGAAGGCCAAAAAGGGGAGAGCTCAGAGCCCCTTCCAGTGCCTAAAGGGGCTCTAGGAGAGCTGGGGGGGACTCTGGATCGGGGAGGGGAGCCGTGGGACGAGGGGGAACGCTTTGACACTGACAGAGGGGAGATTTGGATCAGATCTAAGGAAGAAATGTTTCCCTGTGCGGGCGGTGATCCCCTGGGGCAGGTTGCCCCGAGAAGCTGTGGCTGCCCCATCCCTGGAGGTGTTCAAGGCCAGGTTGGACGGGGCTTGGGGCAACCTGGGCTGGGGGGAGGTGGCCCTGCCCAGGGCAGGGGGTGGCACTGGATGATCTTCAAGGTCCCTTCCCACCCAAACCATTCTGTGATTCTATGACTCTATAAAGCTGAACAGAGAGAGGCAGAGACCAAGCACCTGCACAAGCCCCTCCCACACCCCTCCTCTCCACACCGCCTGGACACCTGCCCAGGGACAGGCCTGGGGCGCCCCGGGGGTCCCAGAGCAGACCCCAGGGGACGGCTGAGGACGGCCCCTGTACCCAACATGGCGGAAGACCCCTGCACCCAACATGGCGAAACCCCCCCTTCCCCGGCCGCCAGCGGGTGGGGGGGGGGCGCAGTGCGCATGTGCCAGGGGCAGCGCGGAGCGTGGCTCGCGCCA